GAGAGTGTTTTACTGGGAACTAAACCACTCGTAAATTCCATACGCCACTTCATCCGGGACCCGAGTGGCGTATTTTCCGTATGTCACCTTTGTGAGTGTCGTATCCTTCAATGACGTCACGATTCCCGCCTTTTGCTTTTGTTGAATTGGTTTCTCCATATAATAAAAAGAACATTACACGGTGGCGAGAAGATATGAATTTTATGTTCTCGTGGCAAGAACAATATCTCACTCGTGAGATATTGTTCTTGCCACTCGAACATAAAATTCATATCTTCTCGCCACCATGTAATATCCTCTATATATTTAAAAGAACTGTGAGTGTCTCTGGTACCTTTACAAAAACTATTAAAGCACAGCATGTGTTTACTGCTATTTATTCACAAAGACAATCTAAAGAAGCACCAAATTAATGCGATGCATTTGTTTGTTTAACAGGTTGTTGGGCCAGCGGATGGATCAGCATATGTCATTGATTACTATGGTCCTCGATTGACCCACATCGCAAAGGATATGGACACATATTTCAAACCACGGGAATGACATTACGTGCATCACTTCTGGCAACATTCTTATTGTACAGAAAAAATAATTGATAGTGAGATTTTCAGGTGCCAGCAGCAACGAACTGACGAAATCTTACTGTAGATGGTTGAAAGGAGTAATATTGACAAATTAACTCAAAGTCTTTGACGGGACTGGAGGATTACGAAAGGTGGTCAGGAAGGTCGCATACAGTGTCTGAAGCTGCAATGATCATTAGCAAATTACACAATTTTTAGTTTCTCCATTAAAAATTGGAAAATATTGGAAAAATAGTTATGCTCATTTGACAATGAAACTTCTTAACTGATCAAAATTCTGCAACTGAAGGTCTATTTAATGCATTGATTCTTTTTTGGGAGTCCATATTCTTGAAAAAAAACATTTTTTGTTTCTGACAGAAACAGTAATAACCGATTATTTCTTGTGAGTTTCGGGCAACGAATGTCCTTGAAATTAAGATTGTTTGGCGTACCAATTTATTTGTAAAATATAATTTGTAAGCACTGCTGCAGCTGTACGTTGTAAATATTAACTGGAAGCTAGGTACATGTAGTGAAAATAATAAATTATAGTAGTTGTAAAAGAACTTGAAGTTTTTAGTTACGTTAGGTTGCGTTTATTTGGAGCACTAGAGACAGTGTGGAAAGTTAAACATCCTTATTATCAAATAGATTCCACTTTCCCGAGTGTTCAGCTACAAATTACAGTCTGCCTTGCTGTGATTACACCTTCCAATCTAGATACGCCTTGGTAGAAATTAGATTATTGTGCAGTGTCAAATAGTTAAATTGAAACCGAAGAAGCTCTAAAAATTACAGTTGACTCTGTTGTGTATATCATGTCTGACTGTTTTTTTGCTTTCATTTTTTATCCTTTTTTTTTTCGGTATTATTGCACCGTACACTTACACCCAATGCTTTATATCTCAAATGATGGTTTTTGCGGGAGCGATATGAAAAAATCGAATCAGGACGGAATCAAACAACTGAATAAGCGACCAACTGCAAGGGATCGCCTCCATATCTGGAACTCGAGTAATGGCTTACGTGTATTAAATCTTAAAAAAAATGTTTGGCTTGGTTTTTAATGTATTGTTCGTTTATATATAAACATTTCATCAAGAATTACGCCCTTGTACTCTAAATAATTCCATTCTTTTTTACCAGCGACAACTGTAATTATTTGACAAAACTTGTTTTATTGTTTTCTTTCTGCTTTCAGCCACATTTTGGCGCATTTTCACACTCTTTTACATTCCGCGCTTTTTGGTGAGTACAGCTCCGGTTTATGACACTCATTTCGAATTCAACTGAAGATTTGTGATTGCTCGGTCAGTTCTAAAGCGCTAGACTTATCAAAGAGTTTCGTTTTAAATTGGGAGGGCTTTATGTCTAACGAAACTGCCACAAAAGTTTCCAATTTTTTCTCGGCGGCTTATTCCCCTACACGTGAATATTCAACAGCTAAGATAAAAAGAAAAGCTTCGTTTCCAACGCAACCAAGAACTTCCCAATTGCCGACGAAGGCCAGCGAAATGAAGTATTCGATGGTTACTGCTATTTCAAGTGGTTATATTGGCGTTTTACTGCCAATTTGCCTTCTTGCAATTTTTTTGTCGTGTGTTGTGTGCGTGTATCATTGGCAGGGAATAAGGGAAAGGAGATTGGACTTGGAGGAGGATCGGAAAAGATGTCAAAGAAAGAGAACTATGTCAGAGTTCGACAGTGGTTGCACTCTGAGGACCATTAAGCCAGTCAACAAGGTGAGACAATCAGTTTTCTTCAGTGCTGATTGATCCATCCATTTTCGCACAGTAAATCTTCTTGCTATATCATGACAGAACATTTTAAATAATGACTTAATACCAGTAAGAACCTTTCTGGCCTGCATCGCAGACAGTCCAAATCTCGAATGGCTCGTAGCAAGGAGTTGTTTAGGGAAGCTTTGGGACGGAAATAAATAGCTCTACTTTTCTTTGCTCCGGCTCCATCGATGTGACGCTACCCGCCCATATGCAACCTGTACGTCTTCATGATCATAATTATGATCTTGACAAAATTGACAGTAACTCCATTCGTTATGAGTCAACATCATCATCATCATTATCATCATCACCATCATTATGGTCATCATTATCAGCATCATAGTCATCAGCATTGTCACGTCCTGGTCATCTCAATCATCATCAAATTGTTTGTTTAAATCAAGAGCGGTGACTTCGACCAAAGTGCAGGACAAAAGACCTCTCTCTCTTTCTTCAACTATAATTGTTTCCTTTCAGAAACTAGGCAAAGCACGATCGTACCCATGGAAGACAACTAAGACTCAGGATCTTCATGACATCAACAACAATGAGGGTTTTATCATTCCAATAAGCCCTGGAATGAAACAGGGGACAAGCCATTACGCTCGTAGAAGTTACCAGTCCTCCGCAGCGATGGCTCAAGCTACGGGGTGCTACGAGAGGCCCGTCCTGAAAAGGACCCCTATTCATGATAGAGCTGGTCCCACCACTAAAGGGGACCTTTCAAGCGAAGGTAATGAAATTTATAATAGGGGTACATGTGGTGAAAGACAATCATTTGTTTGCCGATACATCTGAGTTTCGGGGCAATTTGCTATCGGTGAAAAAAAGAAAGAAAAAAGAAAATGACGTCGCAGCCAAGGAAAGATACATACACTGGCTCAAATCCTAAAAGCACAGCGATATTTTAAACCTGAAGAAAAGCCCAGTTATAATCGAATCGCTTATTCCTTTTATTTTATTCTATCCTCTGCACATGCTAAACAGTGACGCTATTCCGAAAAGAGGAGTTAATGTTTTCGATTTGGTTTCATTGCTTTGTCAAAATTGATCAATCTTTTAAATTTTAGAGCCGTCTATCCCTTCTGTCCCGGATGTAAGCTTAAACCTGTCAGCAGCAGATACGACAATCGAGAGCTGCTTGGTGATTTCCTCTCCAATCCTGAAAGAATACCCTGCTTTGAAGAATGACGTTGTTGATGACGTCAAACAGAAAAATTCGGTCCATGTGACACGTCAAGGTGACGACGGACAAGTTGTTACCGTGGAGACGATACACGGTCAATTGCTGGAGTATTGGGTGTAGATTTTGAGTGTAATATTTGTTCTTTGAGAGTGTATATAAATCTAAGTGTGCTGCTAGATCATTGGTACATGAAACGTGTCACAACATATATTCATCAACTGATACTCGAGTTTAAAATTACTAACATTAACTAAAATGAATTAAAGGAGATGAAAAGTCTACCGTTGCCCTTTTATTTATTAGCCCCCTCTCGTTTAAAAGGCTGTTCTTGGCCACAGGAATGTGAGGAAAGCGGTACCTTTTGATCGTTTCGACATTTTACCTTTTGAAACGCGAAATGGTTTTTGAGGAAGTCAGTGGGACAATGGGCGGATTGATGCTTACGGGCACTCTTCTTCTCGCTTCCCGCCGTTTTTCCTCTTTCGGTATTTCTTTCCTCGCTCGCTTTTTTCTCTCGTCCGCACTGTCTGAAAACACCTGGCACAGGCGACCTTATCCGACACACCGGTGTATATGGGTATGAGATTAGGTGGGGAAAGGCTGATGGTCTGAAAATAACAGATGGGCGCCCCCAGCCCAACCCCCCCCCCCCCCGGATTCCTTTTCCTAGATCCGCCTCATAAATAGCGCCAGGTGAAAGGCTGATTCTCAAGCAGGATTTATTGCCCGGCTTTGCCGATGGTTCGTCGTAAATTCAGCTGCCCTAAATTGAACACATTGAAAGAACACAGTAAGAGCGAAGTTTGTCGGTCAGCTCACTTTGGAAGCCGTTATGTTACTGAACCATTATATCATGCTTAATACTCTTTCTGGCCACAACTCGACGCTATGAAGAGCTATAAAGCCGTTTACGAACTTTACTACCCAGACAGTTAAACCAGGTCTAGAATATTTTTATGATGAAGGAAAATCATAGTACAGTCGAACCATGCATTATGAACGACCACCTCTCGTAAGTGACCATTTCGCATAAGCGAGCACTTGCAAAACACCAAATATTTTCCCAGTCAAAGCCTTAAAGTTGGAATAAGCGACCGCCACTGTCTAAGTTACGTTCATAAAAAAACCTCTTTTTAGCAAACATCTGATATAATGGTCTAATCTCTGTGTTCGTGTACTACACAACGTGGATTTACCTACATTGTAACCCCAAGAAACTGTACGTATATTCTCTCCAAAAAGTAGATGGGTTCGCCTCTCCTAGAAAAAGACCTCCTGCAGTTCGACTCTCCCGTGTGCGATCCTGATATTACGTGGCAGTTTAATTCGTGACTTACAGTCACCATGTGCGGTTTGACTAACTTGGCGTGTATGGAAGTCCATTGACATCATCTTGGGAAATTGTTGATAAATACTAAACGCGAATTTCTAGATGTCGTATCTTCCTGGGGAAGCAAAGCTTAGCTGCCTTCAAGGAGGGGCTTAAAAAAATGCAGATATAATTATTGTAAAAAGCAATTGGATTATTGTATCGCAAAATGTAACAATTGAAATATTGTAAATAGAAGATTGTAGATAGAAACTTGTGAATAGTACTATGTAAATATTTTCGTGCAAAGTCAGCCGGGTAAATGTTTTTAGTACCTTTTCGTTATTGCTTTTTATTCAGTTTGAGTTATGTTATACGCGACCACATCAGCTACGCTGTAAAATTATCGTGTTTTTAATAAAAAATGTTGTTGTTGTTGTTGTTGTTGTTGAAGTTCCGGGTCCAGTCCTTTCCAGATAAAGAGGCCAGGTTGCATAGACTCAAAACATGTTACTGTTGTCTGTTTGAAGACAGTGAAACAGTTTTACAGCAGTTCCTTTTACAACAATGAGCCCAATAATAGCACACTGATTTTTAGAATCAGAAGATGCCTGGTAGAGGAAGGAGCAGGCGGGGCATAACATCGAAAGATTACCAGAAGCCGCTGCGAAGACCAGGTGAAACGCAAGAGACAACGTCTACAGCGCAAGATGGCGCGAAAGACTCTTCTTCCGCTCTGAGCGAAAGTGAAAAGGGTGAGAAAATGCTTTATTATTTTCCCAGTTAAATTTAGAGATATGATTAAACATATATAAGCAAATCCTTTCTGGCACAAGGTTAAAGGCTACTATTCACTGCCTCAATCTCGATCTTCTTATTATACAATTCGGATCTTTCATCTTCCTTGACTTATTAATAATTTTGCATGCCAATTGAAGTGTAGGGACCGTTTTTTCGTTAGGATCTTATATCATGTTCGAATTTGAATTTTATCCAGATCAAACAGTTGCAGAATATAAGCTTAAGCTTATAATTATACAAATGAGATTAAGTCAACAGGTGATATTAAACTTTGCTTTTGTTTCTTAAATTAAAGAAATAGTTTTAACGAGAGTGTAACATGGTATGATGCAGTGCTGTGTGTGACTACTAATCTTGCGTTCATACAGTTAGGAACTTCAGAATGCCTAGCCACTTGTCTAAACGCTGCACAAGACATACACAATAGTTTCTTTTGTCAGTCAAAGAGATGTAAATATTAAGTGGCTGGGTATTCTGAAGTTTAGCCTATGTATTGTAAAAGACCCATACTCTGCAAGTTTCTTTGACGTTCTGCCTGAACTTTTTGTATGATTATTTGAAATAGTTAATGATCCACCTTTGGAGGAACTAGCCCATGATAAACCAGCCGAAGATACTGGGACAAGCCAAGATTCAGAGGAAAAACTATTGAAAGCCAGTGAGCAAAAGGAGTCAGAGGAGAGTGATGTCTCACCTCAAAAGACAGAAATTGTTAATAGTACTTTGTCTGAAGGCAAGGAGGAAAGTATTGTAAACACTTCTACAAAAACTGGGAAGAATGATGGAGAGGCTGCAGAACCAGCTGAAGTGAAAAGTGCTGTTTTAAAAACAGCAACTGGACAACAAGCAGATAAAATAACCAAGTTATCACCACTTGCGGCAGAGTTTAAAGGTTTTTGACCAATGTTAGATGTCAGAGATCATCTTCGTGGTCTTAAACAAGGTTTCAGTAAGAGAGTTGTTCCGGTCTCTGGAGGTTACGAGGCTGTCGACTCGCTATTTGGACTCTTACTCAACTACAACTGTGTGAAAGATGTGTTGTTTGGTCTAACGCAAACTCCTGGCGAATTGGATTCTTATGTGGAGACTTTGGTGAAGATGTTGCAAAAGTGGCTGAGTTCTCTTGATTCCTTGCAGGAAATTGTGGATCTCATCTTTGATTATGTAGGTATAACTTTAACAGTGGTTCCACCGAGTATTTATTTTACTGGCAGTGCTAACCCATTTAAACCAAAAATCTGCATCAGTATTTTTTGCATTGTACTCCATATTGATCCCCCCTCCCCCACTTCTCCTGGCGTACCCATCATAATTAAAATAAGGCGAGCATTGTTGAACTATTTCACTAGCTGTGGAAACCATTTCTCTCCAAGTTAACTGTGTCTGTTTCTTTTCTTAGTCAATAACAGAACCTAATTTCCAGTACATGGCAGCCAAACTGTGTAACTTATTATCAGAAAAGGAAAAGAAAATTGTCACTAACAATGATGAAAATTTTCGCAGTGTGTTTCTCACCAGGTACTAAAGTACATGTAGTTAAAGTTCTGGATGCTTTATTCTTAGGGCTTCCATTTAGCTGACCCTAGTAAAGACAGATTTAAGAAAACTAGCCACGCTTAAAAATTCTATCTCAGCTCTGTTTTCAGTCATGAACATACGTTCAAATGGACCTTGTTCATTAATGTCAGCTAAAAACGTATTTTTAGCTAAGCGGAAAGTTAATACCAGCTCCAGGAAGATCACCTTTTGGTGATCCATCCTGGAGGTAATCTGGCAGGCATTCGTCATGCCCTTGGTCATAGCACTGTCTGTTGATTTTCCAGCCAAGTTTTTCCTTTTACTCACTTCAGGTAGCTTCTTTCAACTTTTCAGGATTTCTAATCATGTTTTTTTTCCAGATGTAAGGATGAACATATTAAGCGAGAGGAAACCTTGCAAAATACAGCTACTAAAGCACTTCTTCTTGGCTTTGCAATGTTTGAGGCTGAGCTCTTTTGCAACTACAGAGTAAGGTTTTTTTTTCTATTTTTTACTTTTATGCATTTTAATACAAAAATGGGTTAACAACTAAGAGCAGCTTTAGTGCTAGTCGTCTGCAGTCAGGCGGCATGTGTATGCCCACTTGTTCACTACATCTTTCACGTGATTGGATGGCATGTGCAGTTTCCTTTGTACAGTGTTTTTTTTACGGAGGTTTTTTTCACCGTTTTCTTTCCCTGTTCTCTCTCCATTTATAATTTTTTTCAGTGTGATGGGTAAATTTTGAATGTTTACATTTATAGCCCTTAGGTGAGAGTCACCCATTAAAAGTGTTTCACAGAGGGCTGATAGAAATGCTGAACACCCTTCTACAAAACCATTCAGAGGATTGCCTGAAATGTGTTGGAAAAATATTGAAGGTAAATTAGTTAATTAGTCATGGTTAAAACAAGTTTGCTCTTTGATGACATTGGCAAGTCCACAATTAAATTGTCGGAATCAAATCAAAGTGTTCCTTGGTGTTTTACTCACCTAAGTGTTTTAAAGTGTCTTGGGCTTTGAAAATTTTGTATTATTTTTTAGTCGCTCTGGTAGCTGGAGAAAATAGCCAACATTTTGTGACACAATCACTGCTCTCCTTGCTCAATGATGTGTAGAGAAACAAGTGCAGAAATTACATACTGATGATGCATCACTTGCCAGATCTGGATAGTGCTTCTGATTGGTTGAAGCAAATTTATCTCATGGCAGTCAACCAATTAGAAGCCCTTTCCAGATCTGGGTACTGACACATCATCAGAATGAAATTTCTAAGATAGTTTCTCAGACGTCATTTTGTGGAGAAACCAGTTATGGCTCAGGCTATCACTCTGGAGAATTTCTAGTGAACACTTTTCTTTAAGCTATAATAATTTGTCCCTATCTTTGGATGTAAGTTGCTATGTGAAACATGTTGTAATATTTTATTCTCTTAATAGTAACATTTGCTGTACATTTTCTAGATGACAGGCTTTCTTCTGGATGATCCTCAATTTTTGGAAATTGAGAAAGACCGCAAAGAAAAAGTTGATAAAGTTTTCAACGATGTCAACAACCTGTTAAAAGACTCTAGTCTGTCAGAAAGGTAATCCTTCTCCTTGTACAGTTTGACATCAGTCTTCCAGTCTTTAAGTATGAATTTTGTTAGTGTGTTGGGGCAGGGAAGATTGAGGGGAGGGGGAAGTAGGAAGAAAGTTGCAAAGCCATAGTTCTGTATTGTTTGATTATCTAAGGAAAACTGTTAATTTTATGGTGTGTATGAAACTACTGGATATCAAGAGGCTCTTAAAGTCATCAGTCAGTGCCTTTAGCCATTATTAAACAAAATGCTCTTCTTAAGTCATGAAGAAGATACATGTATCAAACAAAATTCCTCGGGGAGCACTAACCTCAATATTTGTATTGGTAATTTTTGCTGGTATAGCATTAAAACATGAAAACCTTGGCCCAACTGTTTCAAGTTTCAATCCATGTTCATCCTAGACTGCGAGCAGTCTCTCTTTTTCTTCAGATTTAGTAAGGGGAGTGCACACGTGCCCGCAAGCATTAAGCAGTGAAGCAGCAAGATGAGAGAAACGAGGGCGGTTGCCCGAGAAGAAAGAGAGACTGTCTCTTTTGTCGTGCCTCTTCCGTCTCACCCCTTCAGTCACGCACGTGGTCATTTGCGTGTCTTGGCCGTTTTGCTCCACGGACCAAGAAAAAAGGAGACTGCTCGTAGTCTAGTCCATCCTTTCCATAGATCTGTGGCAACAGACAATAGAAAAAAGTTTCAATCCCTACAATATAGTGTTAAGACACAAAACTGGACTATTATTTTTGGAATTCAATCGAGGTTCTTAAAAAGATAGCAAATAGCATGGCAAAGCCCCTTTATTATAAAGTTGTACAGCTAGTAACTTTTTTTTTCTCGTGCCTTGGTAGTGTCAGAGAATTATTGTCAAAAGTGATGGAACTAAGAGCTTCCAACTGGGGGAGCGGGACAAGTGAAGGAGCTGTTGGAAATTACCCCGTTTATCCTTCAGATGATGGATATTACTATTCTGATTATCCCCTGGGCATGGTAAGTTCTTTATAACAGATTTGTCACAAGTTACCTTAAAAAAGTGGGGAAGTTTTTGTGTTGCAGTTTTGTTTTACCTTTATTTTGTTCTTTGTCAGTGGTAATTTCTGATTATAAGTCAGGATAAAAATAAAAAAATAATTAGACCAAAGGAAAAAAAAAGTTAGATATGAAAATTATTGCCATTTGTCATGCAAATGACACTAATATTCAAATGAAAGATTTTCCAATGGATCTCATTTTGAATTGGTGGGTTTTGGAAACTCGGAAATAGCCTGTTTAATTATAGCCTGTCCATAGTTGTTTTTAACGAATCTCACGCCTTTGTGCAAGTGGTCAATAGCCCCCCTCCCCTCCCCCCAAACTCCACGGTTTTCATTTTCATACCACACTTAACGATCTCTGAAGAGAACTAAGAGGGCCTGTGAAAGGACTAGTTAAGTTACTGCCTTTTGTTGTTTTAGGATGAATTAAGCTTACAAGATGACTTGACTCCTGTGACAAACCCAGGTGAGAAAGAATTGAAAAGAACATATGTTAATGTCAAAGTGTATCAGCTTGGTACCAATGGAAAAACCTTATTACAGAGAATTCATTGCATTAATCGGTCAACTGACTTGCGAACCCTGGTCTTTCATGGACAGTTTTTTCATTGAAGATGCGTTATGTGTCCTTGATTGAGCCCGATTGCATTAATCTGTTTTCTTCGTCAAAAATGGTGACTCCGAGCCGGAATTATACCGTTCCAAGAAAGAGAGAAAAACTGCTACTGCTCCGCCGGGCATTGAATAATTTTCAGATGTATGGTGTGTCGTTCAGCATTCATGAAGACCCCTCAAGTAAACAGGATGATGTGAATTTCCAGTTATGTGTAAAAGTCATATCAGCACAATATCGTGTCTGTATTACCTGGACACGCCCTAAAGGGGACCTTGTTCAGAGGCATCCTGTTAAGGTTACAAGAGAATATGTCTAGTTACCTCGCTGATAATACTACTACATCTACTTGGTAGAGCCTACGTCCTCTGTATATTCATGATGAAAGGTCTGGTCATATTACTACTACTACTTATGATGCACATTCTGGTACAAATTCTTGTCCTATGTGAAATGTTGGCTAATTTTTTAGTACCAGCTTCCTCGGTATACCTTGTTTTATAGCCCTCGTTTGTGTTCAAAAACTCCGGCCAGTGCTCAGAAATTCGTGAATCTGAATCTCTGTTTTGCACATAGACCTCTTTGCACCTCTGGGAGGCTTGTGCGAGAAATCGAAAACCGTGGGGGACGTATGATGGTAGAAACTCTGTATTAAAATCTTACTTCATTACTACCCTCTGCACAGTGCGCAAAGCGCGAATGAAAACACAACGACATATATGGAGGGTGACTCTTGCTGGGAGCCTGATGGACACAATGGACCAGCACGTGCTTTATTGACAAGATATTTTCGCAATACAGTTCAACAATACAAATGATCTTAAAAGTAATATAAAAAAATTACGGAAATAATATAATTTCTACATAAACGAACATTTAAATAATATGGAACGTGACAGAAAGTAGAATCACTACCCGGTACGAAAACCCGGAATAAAAAACCCATTGGGGCAAAAAAAAACCGGGAACGTACTCCGCGATCGAATGCAGTGTATCGAGCTCCGAGGATTAGAGCTTTGGACTAACTTAGGAACTAATAATAAGTTTGGTCACCGACAACGGCTGTCCAAAAGGCGAGATAGCCAAAAACGCTTCTACGTCGATAGTTATACAAATACTCCTAATGTATAATGAAATGTACGCAGGCTAAAAATTTCCGGGTTCCGGAATCTGGAATACCTTACAGAGAGATCCGTAAAATTTTGATTGATTGAGTTCTTTGCTTATTTCCTTTTTGTTTTCAGTCCTGGGGATGATAGTGAATATTATGTTGAAGAGGATCCTGAATTTGATGATGAAATACATGAAGAATTCGAAAAGTTTTTACAAGAACAAGAAGCCTTATTCAACTGAAATTGTGAGAGCATCATTGTCCACATTCCAAGCATTAATTGACAGTAATGTTGCGGTAATAAAGGAGTGAAGCACGTGCTTTTCAACCAGAAGAATGATGGACTCAAGTCTCAGACTAGGTTTGCTGTGTTTTGTGGCGAGCCCTGTTGCACCCAGAGTAGATCAGTTAGATATGAGATGTGTAATATAATTTAAACTTTTGATTCCACGGACGAAATCCTTAGGTGTGACCAAAATTTCTCTTTCAGTGCTTTTAGGCGTGTTGTTTATAGTTCTAAGTATTGAGACTGTGGTTGAAATCCTCAGGTAGTTTAAGGTATGAGCATTTAAATGACGTCTCTTCAGGAGCACTTTCACTTGGTACTATTTGTTTTGCTGTTTTTTTTTTCAATATTTTACAACATGAAACTCTAATTTTTCTTGAATTGTGAATTAAAGTCTTGAAAGATTGCCATATTTGGCGCTAAACTAGATGTATTAAGACAACGACGATTTCAAATCTAGGCTTATTACTGGTGTGTGAGTAAAGACGGAGATTAAAGTGTGCCAGCTCAGTTTTCAACTTCATGGAAATAAACTTTTTCTTTGACACCTGTTAAAATTAGTGTCCATGAATTAGCAAAAACTAGATCTTACAGACGCATATGTTGTCCCATAATTTGTCGTGCACAAAAGCCAATATTACATTCGTAGTCAATAAAAAATTTTCGAAGCATCGCTAAATGTGTTCATTACTTTAGTTTGCTATGCTTAATAATGTGCGAGAGTTAAACAAAGCGGTCGGAAGCATGAATTAGCTGCTCCCACCGGCTTGCCGGCATTGATCAATAATTTATTGTTCATAATTTAACCTGCTGTAAGTTTCTTGTAAATATGGACACCTGCAGTTGGGGTTTTTACAGCTCGAAACAGACGTGTTGTGCGTATTTATTTAGTGAATGTTTTCAAAACAGAACCAAAAACGTTGCTTGATTTTGAGGTAAATATACACCATTTGTCATGGTAGAGATGTTCATCTTGTTGGTTGGCAAATCCTCGTCGGTTTTTGTCCTTTTTATTTCTGATTCGGTGTTTCCCAATTACCCCGTAATTTGCCGAGTTCTGTATAAGATAGGGATTGTTTATAATTTCCCGTCGTCGTCTAGAACTTTTGCAACGTGTGGCGATCCTACTGCTGACAGCAAAAAAACAATAGAAA